AACAATGAGAGCAGTCAACCAATGGAATAGCTTGCTTTCAGAAGTTGTGGATGCTCCATCACTGGAGGCTTTCAAAAAGAGGCTGGACATCCATTTTTCTGAAATGATATAAGCTCTCCTGCTTGAGCAGGGGGTTGGTTAGAAGACCTCCGAGGTCCCTTCCAACTCTGTTATTCTATGTTCTACACATGGGGTACTTCCTCTCTATGTTGGCTCTAAGGATCTGTGGACTGGATTAAAAAGCAGAGATTACCTGCCATGACTGGACATCTAAGATCCTCTTTCCAAGTCTCATCATAGCTGTTTGTCTTCCTGATCCATGCATTGCATGTAGTGCGTGTGCCACAGCATAAATGGCATTGTAGATATTGTAACTTTCACCTGTCATGCTTGTTTCAAACATGTAAGTTGGCACATTCTGTAAATTCTCCTCTCCAGTACATGGTTTTACCTCCTTTGAAGGGATCTCTCCTGGTTCGTAAATGTTGCAGCCAAAGATCTTTCCCCACCATAGAGGGAGAAGGATGTCACCTTGTGGTTTCAAAGGGTCTAAAGACATGAGAAAATGTCTGAATTCTGAGACATCCTTGGTGTGGTCCCTAAAATGCAAAGCCCCATGGTAGGGCTTTATAACAAGAAATATATATTCAGAGCTCATCACATTAAGTTTCCAATTGGATGTGAAGATCCAAACTTTCAGTAATGATGCATATTTCTGTTTTTTATAAGCAAACAAAACTATCTGTGCATATGTAATACTACTGTAGTCTCCAAAAAAAATAATCACTTCACCTTTAGACCAAATGTTGAAAATATAATATAAATTTGGATCTTGATCAGTGTAAAAATCAAATTTCATTATTTCAGTGAAGGCCAGGCAGATCTCCTTCTCCTTGAGCTTTGGTATTAGAGATGAGACGAAATGTTCCGCATTGTCATCTTTGTTGGCCACCAGCCCAACCCAGTTCCACTGGAAATACAGGAGCAGCTGGACTAAACCCTCATGCTGAGCAGATTCATCAGGATTGATCTGGATGAAGGAAGGATAAACTCTTCTCTCTCCTTGAGTGAACTCAAAGCCAACACCAAGCTAGAGAAAGTGAGAATCTTTCAAAAACAAAGTCAAGTTTTATGGTGACTTTAAAGCTCACCATTGTGTAGTTTGAGTGACAAGCTTCATCTTCCTCCCTTCTTAGGAAGAACCACCAGTTACCTGATTTGCCTGGTTGTGATAGATCATAAGTCAAAGGAACAAAACATCTATGTGATTCAGAGAATAAACATTTTTTTTTAGTTTTAAAAAACAAACTTTATTAGATTAAAAAAAATAAAATTGTATAAAACATTCACAACCTTAAAATACAATCAACAGTACCAACAAACAACAAACAAAGTATATATAATGTATGTAAGTACACATATATACAAAAACTTTTTTCCTTTTTTTCCTTAATGACGGTGTATAATTATTACTTTTAATTTCTTACTAAGTTTTGACTTTACCTTCTTTTCCATTGGTTTATCCACTCATACCAACTGTCCCATATCTTAAAATACTGTGAGTCTTCCTTATCTTTCAATTTCAACGTTAGTCTATCCATTTCTGCACATGTGTAAATTTTTTGAATTATTTGCTGCTCCGTTGGCAATTGATCTGTTTTCCAGACTTGTGCTAGGGCTAACCTAGCTGCCATGATTATATGTAATATTAGGTACTTTTTTTCCTTTCTAATGTTTTGTTTAAGCATTCCTAACAAAAAAAAATCTGGTTCTAACTCAATATCCTCCGCAATTATTTCTGATATCCAAATTTTTATTTTTATCCAATATTCCTTAATTTTTGGGCAAAGCCACCAGACATGAAAGAAGGTTCCCTGTGCTTGCTTACATTTCCAACACGTTGGATTAAGATTTGCATACATCCTCGCCAATCTCGCAGGGGCTAGATACGATCTGTACCACATCTTGTAGTGGTTCTCTTTATATGCTACGGATTTTGTTATTCTATAGTTGGTTTCCCATACCCTCTCCCATTCTTCCAGTTGTATGTTTTTGCCAATATTCCTTGCCCAAGCTATCATTTGTCCTTTGACTAGATTTTCTGCTAGGTCGAATTCTAATAAGTATTTGTAAATCTTTGAAATCAAATTTCCATCTTTAGCTCCTAATAATTTGTCTAGTCGGTTGGGATTTATTTCGATTCCTCCTTCCTCCTTATCCTTATTGTATCTAGTTTGTATTTGTAGGTAGGGCCACCAGTCTATTTCTATGCCTTGTTCCCTGAGTTCCTGCCGTGTTTTTAATCTTCCTTGGGGATCCAGTAATTCTTTATATCTTATTAATTTATGGGGGGCTAGTGTGTTGGGGTGCATTGCCGCCTCCAATGCAGATATCCAGCCGGGAACCTTCATATAATGTTTATTTTTAATTTCGAACCAAGTGCTAATCAGTGCATTTCTTATTATGTGGTTTTTAAAATGTTTATAGGTTTTGTTCCTGGCGTTCCACAAGAAGGCATGCCACCCCTTTAATAGATCGTGGCCTTCCAATTTTAATAGTCTGTAATTATCCAAATTGACCCACTCCTTAAACCATGTTAAACTTGCTGCCTTATAGTATTTTTCCCACGCTGGTAGGCCAAAACCCCCTCTAGATCTATCATCCTGTAATATGTTTAAATTTATTCTTGGTTTTCTTTCCCTCCCATACGAATTTTGATGTTATTTTATTCAAATTTGTAAAAAAGTTTTTCTCTAATTTAACTGGAATAGTTTGAAATAAGTAGAGGAGCCTCAGGAGTATATTCATCTTTATCGCCCCAATTCTTCCTAGCAATGATAACTTTAGTTTCCCCCATCTTTCTAAATCATTTTTAATTTGTTGTACTAACTCTCCGTAATTATTATCTTTTATAGCCACATTCCTAGTTGTCAGAGTAATACCTAAATATTTTATCCTCTTAACTACTTGTAATCCTGATTGTTTTTCTAACTCTTCTATTTGTTTTGCTGTTAAATTTTTAGTTAATATTTCAGTCTTATCCTTATTGACTTTTAAACCTGCCACCTTACCAAATTTCTCTATTTCCTCTGTTAATTTTAATTCTGTTTCTAATGGATCCTCTATGAAGAATGCAAGGTCGTCAGCAAATGCTTGGACCTTGTATTCTTCTCCTTTAACCTTGAGTCCTTTTATATTTTTGTTGAGTCTGATTCTTCTAAGTAGATTTTCTACTGTTAGAATAAAAAGTAGTGGTGAAAGTGGGTACCCTTGTCGTACTCCTCTACTTGTTTCAAAAAAATTGGTTAGTTCCCCATTGACTAGTATCCTTGCTTTCTGTTTTGTGTATATTGAAACTATCATCTTTTCAAATTTCTCCCCAAATTTCATATTCTTTATTTGTTGTGTCATCAATCTCCAGTTGACCCGATCAAATGCCTTTTGTGCATCCAGGAAAATCAGGGCTACCTGTTTCTCTGGATGCACCTCATAGTATTCTATTACATTGATCACTGTCCTTATGTTGTTTTTAATTTGTCTTGCCGGCAGGAATCCGTTCTGGTCTGAATGTATTCTATGGTTTAATATTGTCTTTAATCTGTTTGCCATCAAATTCATAAAAATCTTATAATCGGAATTTAGTAAAGAAATCGGCCTATAATTTTTTATCTGTGTTGTATCAGCCCCCTCCTTCGGGATTAAGGAGATATATGCATCCCTCCAAGATTCTGGCAGCTTTGCCTCTTTCAATGCCTCATTGTACACCTCTAATAGTATCCAATTTAGTGATTCCCCTAATCCTTTATATAATTCTATTGGTAACCCATCTGTTCCTGGAGTTTTATTGTTTTTTTATTTCCTAATTGTTGCCTGTAGTTCCTCTATAGTAATCTCTCTATTGAGTATCTCTTCCTCTTACTACTGGCATTCCCTCCTCTTTTAAATATTGGTCTATTTCCTCTGTTGGCACCTTATCCTGTGTGTATAAATCTTGAAAAAATTGGGTTACTGTCTTTCTTCTTTTCTAGATTCTGACATAACTTACCATCCTTACCCTGCAGTTAATGAATTGTTCATTTCTCTCTTTCTCTTCTTAATTTATAAGCCATCCACCTCCCTGGTTTGTTCGCCTGTTCAAATTGATTTTGTTTTACAAATTTCATTGTATTGACATATTTTTCTTGCTCAAATAAATTCAATTTGTGTTTAGCTGCCATCCAATTAGTTCTTACTTGTTCATCCCCTGGTCTCTCCTGTAATTTCCCTTCCCAATTTTTGATCTCTTCTCGAATTTTGTTATATTCATTTTCCTTCTCCTTTTTCCATTTACTATTATATAGGTTCAGTTCCAAGTGGGGGGAAAATCACTGGAAACATGGTGGCTGATTGGGAAGATGGTTTTTAATGGTGGACAGGACCTCATGGTTTGAGGTTGTGGGCAAAAAGTATATGGTTGAGAGAGACAGAGAGATTTATACCCTCTGTTCGGCTTTGAATTTGAGCTTGTATTCTGATTGGCTGTCAGACTCCCAGGGGGCAGGGGTCTTAGCTAACTTTGAAGGTTGCCTGTGTCACAGGCTAGGTTGAGTTTTGCTGGGTGATGTAATCTTCCAAGGTGCCATATGGTGAGATGAGTAGAGAGTTAATCCTATCATATTGTGAGGGCCATGTCTTAATCCCATCATCCTGGAGCTGAAGGGTTGGGGGCAGGGACTTGCAGGAAGCTGCTTTGTTTTTAAAAGCATGTTTCTCCTTTTCTCATTGAGGGAAATATAATATTCTGCCTTTTTAATATTCCACAGAATATTTAATACTTCTAGAAGGGCGATGGGTGCTAACTTCCCACACATAGAAAAATCAATTCAACTTTAGGATGGATTATCTAAGTCATATACCCCTGGTGTGTCGCCTCCCCCAAATATCATTGCTTAAATCCTTGCCTTCTGTGTGTGCTTTGGTTGTTTGTGTGCTCCATACTGCATCCAGTGCAGCTTCCTTACCTGTGGGACTTTGAGGATGCTGAAGATGGAGGCCATCTGCCTTGAGGATTTGGAGTTGTGACCTCCAATGACAGAGAGCAGAGTCTCCTGCCTGTCACATTTGTAACCTGGAACCATTTGGCGCCGTGTGGAAAGCAGGGAGAGGCTGTTTAAGAAAATATTCTTCTCCATCTTCTTATTTTCATAGATGCGGAAGCCGAAGGTGATGTTGGGGAGGAGAACTAGATCCTTATTCACCTCCATGACAGCAAACATCAAGGCCAGGAACTGATGGTACTCTTTGATTAGGCATCTACAGTGAGAAAAAGATTGGGGAACATTATAGGAAATATCTTGTGTGCTGGCGGAGTTGGCCTAGTCTTTCTTGTGTGTTCTTGCAGCATTAAGTGACAAGTTTCATTGGGTTGTTTTGCCTTTTTTAAGGATGTTTCTTGATTGCATTTGGATGAATTTCCAAGAAAGGAGAAAAGCCAGGCCGTCCATTTCCCACATCATTTTATACCCCTCTATCCTCCCTCCTTTCCTCACTTTCCTCCAGTGGCTGAACTACTCTCCAATTGCTCCTCTTCCTCCCTACTCAGTTTGTTTCACCCTTGAAGCAGCTTCTACAGGTCTGAGGAGAAGACTCCAGTGGGGGCCACAGCCCAGATTTACTAAGGAGCATTATGTAAGAGTTTTGTGCTAGCCTAGAAACCATCTTTTTCATTGGATCTTCAGGCCTGCCACATTTACTACTGTGGGAAACTGGGTGGGGAGATTGAATGAGCACAAGTGATATATAATCATAATAACATTCCTTTCTCAAAGAGTCAAGGACATCTTGTCCTGCACCTGGAGGGGTAAGGCTGGGAGGTGTTTCCCCTCCCTCCTTTTGTTTAGTTGATAATCATCCCAGGGATGAAATGTTACTGGGTTCGCCCAAACCAGTCGCTTTTTAAACACGCACTGCGTGTTTGGTGCTCACTGCGCATGAGCACACAGCACATGTTTGGTGCTCATACACATGCACAGTGCATGCTTGGCACATGGCATGCATGCATGGCCAATAAACTGGTAGCAAACCAGTTCAGATTTCACCACTGAATTATGCTGATGAAAACATATGGAAAGGCAGGTCATGCCCCTGCATATAATCTGTGTATATACCGTTGTTGTTCTCTGTCCTCCGGAACAGTTTTGGGAAACAATAGCAATAGCACTTAGACTTATATACCACTTCACAGTGCTTTCCAGCCCTCTCTAAGCGGTTTACAGAGTCAGCCTATTGACCCTAGCAATCTGGCTCCTCATTTTACCGACTTCAGAAGGAGGAAAGGCTGAGTCAACCTTGACTCTGGTGAGATTTGAACTGCCCAATTGCAGGCAGCCGGCAGGCAGCAGAAGTAGCCTGTAGTACTGCACTCTAACCAGTGCCCCACCGTGGCTCACAAAGGGAATTCTAGCCTATTTCTTGATTTTTCCCCTTCACTGAGAAAAGGACAAAAATCTGAACATCCCTAGAATGAGTATTTCTTAAAAGAGGCCCTGAATCCAAAGGAAAGAAAACAATCACTTACATTTTTCCCCTCCAGGTGAAACTTACGTGAATTTATTAATATGTCGCAGTGGGTCCCTTTGAAAATCTGGTGATTTGGACTGCACAAAAGTTACTAGGGGCAAATTCCCTCCAATGATCAGATCACCAGGCCTGTAAAATTCCCACTGATTTGGAAATTTTACATGTTTTTTCAATGGACATACGGAATGAATCTTCTTAGCGGTAACTGGAGGCAGGAGGCAGAAGAGCAGCAGCAGCAGGAGAGGCAGCCCAGACATTCTTCTCACCTTCCCTCCTAGATCAGAAATCAAGGTTTGTGCAGAAGCTGAATTAGCACAACAGACAGCTCCATGTCTTCTGGATGGCCTCAAGTCAAATTTATCTGATGTCTCCTTGCATTAACACATTTTTATTTTACCACTTTATTTCTTCCTATCTGTCCTATTCTGAAATTAGACTATGGGCTGTATTTTATTTTATAGAATAACAGAGTTGGAAGGGACCTTGGAGGTCATCTAATCCAGCCCTCCCTGCTCGAGCAGAAGTCCTTAAACCATTTCAGACAAATGGTTCTCCAACATCTTCTTAAAAACTTCCAATGTTGGAGCATTCACAACTTCTGGAGGCAAGTTGTTCCACTGATTAGTTGTTCTCACTGTCAGGAAATTCCCCCTTAGTTCTAAGTTGCTTCTCTCCTTGATTGGTTTCCACCCATTGCTTCTTGTCCTACCCTCAGGTACTTTGGAGAATAGCTTGACTCCCTCTTCTTTCGGGCAGCCCCTGAGATATTGGAAGACTGCTATCATGCCTCCCCTAGTCCTTCTTTTCATCAGACTAAACATACCCAGTTCCAGCAACCGTTCTTTATATGAATAAAAAATAAAATAAAATTTTATTTTATTTTAATAAGGTCACAAGACTAATCCATCAATAAAATCCTGTATCAATCATGCTTTCTCTTACCTGTGTTTGGGCTTTGACACAAAGGCCAGTTGAGCCTCACCAAACCCTGCAGTTAGCTCTTCGGAGGACCAGGCAAGGTCCTCCAGCACTGGGAGAACTCAGAGAATATCTTTTAAAGCAGGTTTAACCTTGGAATATTTTTGTGGGTTGAAATCCACAGGGAATACATTGAGAATTACTGTTATTCTATCATCGGAGGGGAAAGCAATTGTCCTATCCATTGGGCAATAGATGTTGTTTGTACACCAGACAGGGAAAAACATGCTTGTGTCTGAATCTGACCGAATCTGACCGAACACTGGTGAGGTCTCATATTAAGATCTACCTCGTGGCGATAAGAGTGGCAAAATCTAACTATTTTTCTGCTCTTATTGGGTCTGCAGAGAACCGCCCAGCAGCCCTGTTTAGGGTGACCAGCTCCCTCCTTCATCTGGGAGCGAGGGAAGACCCCTTGCAGGGCAGGGCTGAGGATTTTGTGCAATTCCTGCATGACAAAGTCACTCAGATTCCGGAAGGTCTGGACTCAGATTGGGTAGATCCAGATGGGGTGACGGAGGTGGATCTTGTGAATGTTATCTGGGAGGGGTTTGACCCTGTGACTCCTGAGGACGTGGACAGGATTCTGGGTAGGCTTAGCGCTGCCACATGTTTATTGGACCCGTGTCCCTCCTGGTTGGTTCTGGCCTCCTGGGCGGTTACACAAGGCTGGCTCCAGGTGATTATTAACGCTTCTTTGAGTGAGGGTTTCTTCCCTACCTCTCTAAAAGACGCGGTGGTGAAGCCCTTCCTCAAGAACCCCTCCCTGGACTCAGCTGTACTAGTGAACTATCGTCCAGTCTCCAACCTTCACTTTGTTGCGAAGGTTGTTGAGAGTGTGGTGGCGCGACAACTTCCCCAGTACCTGGATGAAGCTGATTATCTAGATCCGTTCCAGTCGGGCTTCAGGCCGGGGTACAGCATGGAAATGGCATTGGTCGCATTGGTTGATGATCTCTGGAGGGCTTGGGACAGGGGCTGTTCCTCTGTCCTGGTCCTATTAGACCTCTCAGCAGCTTTTGAAACCATCGACCATGGTATCATGCTGTGACGATTGGAGGGGTTGGGAGTGGGGGGCACTGTTTTGCAGTGGTTCTCCTCCTTCCTTTCCGACCATATGCAGTTTGTGTTGGCAGGGGGACAGAGGTCGACGTCGAGGTGCCTTGTTTGTGGGGTGCCACAAGGGTCAGTCCTCTCGCCCCTTCTGTTCAACATTTATGTGAAGCCGCTGGGTAAATCATCCATGGTTTCGGGGTGAAGTTCCACCAGTACGCTGATGACACCCAGCTGTACATCTCCACCCCAGACCATCCCAATGATGCCCTTGACGTGATGTCCTGGTGCCTGGAGGCCGTGAGGATCTGGATGGGGAGAAACAAGCTCAGACTCAACCCTTCCAAGACCGAGTGGCTGTGGCTCCTGGCATCCCGATATAGTCAGCTGGTTCCATCACTGACTATTGGGGGCAAGATCTTGGCCCCCTCAGAGAGGGCTCACAACTTGGGTGTTCTCCTGGATACACAGCCGTTTTTGGAAGATCATATGACGGCCGTGGCCAGGGGAGCTTTTTATCAGGTTCACCTGATGTGCCAGTTGTGTCCCTTTCTGGACCAGGATGCCCTGCGCATGGTCACTCATGCCCTCGTCATGTCCAGTCTGGACTACTGTAACGCTCTCTACATGAGGCTCCCCTTGAAGAGCACTCGGAGGCTCCAACTGGTCCAGAATGTGGCCGTGCGGGTGATTATGGGGGCGACTCGTCACCCCCACGTGACACCTCTCCTGCATGAGCTGCACTGGCTCCCAGTGGTCTTCCGGGTGCGATTCAAGGTGTTGGTTACCACCTTTAAAGCGCTCCATGGCTTAGGACCGGGTTATATATGAGACCGCCTTCTGCCATCGACAGCCTCCCACCGGCCAATACGCTCCCACAAAGAGGGACTCATCAGGGTGCCTTCGGCCAATCAATGTTGACTGGTGACACCCAGGGGGAGAGCCTTCTCTGTGGGGGCACCAGCCCTCTGGAACGAGCTGCCCCTAGATGTGCATATGATCCCTGACCTGCGCACCTTTCACCACGCCCTGAAGGCCCTCTTGTTTCAACAAGCCAGGCTGGCCTAACATGAATATGAATTTTAAATGGATGTATGTAAGTTTTTTAATTTGTGGGCCAAGTTTTTGTATATTTGATTTTAATGGTTTTTAAATTTTGTAAATTTTATGTGTTTTAATATGGCTGTACACCGCCCTGAGTCCTTCGGGAGAAGGGTGGTATAGAAGTCTAATAAAAGTAAAGTAAAAAGTTGTGTCTCTTGTTGGTAATCCACAGAGCAGATGGACTTGGGAATCAAGGTGAAGTTGACTTTTTGAACTAACTGAAATTTAACACCTTTTTCTTTACATAATCTTTGGTTCATTGTCCATCTCTTACGTCTTCTTTCCCCTTTCCAGTTTATGAATAGTGGATTATGGTCTGCCCATTGGTTTGTGCCTATCTCAATTTTTTCTACTTCTATTTTGATATTTGGGGTCATCCATGCCATGTCCAGTCTTGACCAGGAGTTATGTGGATGGGAGTAAAAGGTGTATTGGGACTCTTCTTCATGTGTTTCCCTCCATACGTCTGCCAAGTTTAGTTCTTCAGCCATAGTAAAGAATTCTTTTGGAAGTATTTCTTTTTTTCTTTGTTTTTTCCCCCAGTTTTGTAGTCCTTCTTTGCATTTTGCATTTTGGACTACTGTAATGCTCTCTACATGGGGCTCCCCTTGAAGAGCACTCGGAGGCTCCAGCTGGTCCAGAATGCGGCCGCGCGTGTGGTTATGGGCGCAACCCGTTACGCCCATGTGACACCCGTCCTGCGCGAGCTGCACTGGCTCCCGGTGGTGTTCCGGGTGCGATTCAAGGTGTTGGTTACCACCTTTAAAGCGCTCCATGGCACAGGACCCAGGTACCTCCGAGACCGTCTTCTGCCACCAATAGCCTCCCACCGACCAGTTCGTTCCCACAGAGAGGGCCTCCTCAGGGTGCCATCGGCCAAGTTATGTCGGCTGGTGACGCCCAGGGGGAGGGCCTTCTCTGTGGGAGCCCCAGCCCTGTGGAATGAACTGCCCCCGGAAATACGCAAGATCTCCGACCTCCGGGTGTTTCGCTGTGCATTGAAGACCCTGTTGTTCCGCCAGGCCGGACTATCAACACAATAGTTTTAAATTGGGGTATTTAAATTTATTGGGGTTTTAAATTTGAGCCACTTATTTAATTATTTTAAATTTTATATCATTGTTTTGTCTGTGTTTTTAAATAGGCTGTACACCGCCCTGAGTCCTTCGGGAGAAGGGCGGTATAGAAATAGAAATAAAATTATTATTATTATTATTATTATTATTATTATTATTTACTATTGCATTATAATCCCCTATTACACAAATATCATCATATTCTAATTCTGCTAGTTTTATATGTAGATCTTTAAAAAAAACCTGTAGTTTTTGGTTAGGTGCATAAATCCCTACAATTAACATTTCCTCTTTCTTATTTCTAATTCAACCATCACCACTCTACCTTGCTCATCGGTATAGACTAGTTTAGATTGTATTTTTTCTTTTACGTAAATCACTACTCTTTTTTTCTTTTTTTGGGCCAGAGATGAATATAGTTTTCCTAATTTGGAGTTTTCTAGGATTTTTTGATAATCTTTTTGAATGTGTTCTTCTTGCAGACATATCACATCTGTTTCTAATTTTCGTAATTTTGTGAAAATTTGATTCCTTTTCTTTGGGGCATTTAAGCCATTAATGTTTACCGAAAAGAGTTTGATCTGTTCATCCATTGCCTATCGTATCTGTTTTTCTGTGTTTCTTGTTTCCAAACAAAAAAAATAAAATAAATAAAATATTTAGGAATCTGGTTATCTACAAGAACATCAGCAATTAAAGAAAACAATTATGATAAATTACTAGAACAAACAAAGAAAGACTTAGAAAAATGGGAAAATTTACACATTTCATTCCTAGGAAGAATTTTGGCCATCAAAATGACTATATTACCTAAATTTTTATATTTGTTTCAGGTCACCCCAATTAAAATAGATAAACCGTTTTTTGAAAAGCTGAATAAAATAACATCTAAATTTATATGGCAAGGGAAAAGGCCACGAATAAAATTTAAACTGCTTCAGGATACAAAAGATAGAGGAGGAGCTGCACTCCCTGACTGGGAGATATACTACCAAGCAGCAGTACTATCGTGGGTCAAAGATTGGATAGAATTAAAGGACTCTAGAACTTTAACAATTGAGGGACACGAACTTCAAACTGGCTGGCACTCCTTTATGTGGGATGAGAAATACAAAACACACTCATATTTTAAAAGACACACAATAAGGAACTCATTATTACAAATTTGGCTTAAAATTAAAAAACAACATTATATGAAGATACCAAATTGGCTAGCACCGGCAGAATCAATTAGGCACCCAAATTTAACAGATAAGATAAAAATAATTAGATATAAAGATATAATTGACTATCAAGGCAAATTAAAGACAAAACAACAATTGGAGACAGATTTACACAGAGAAATAGACTGGTGGACTTACACTCAAATACAATCCAAATACAGAGAACATATAAAAACATATGAAATTTATAATCAAAAACAAGAAATAGATAAAATTATATTAGATTCAGAAAATAAATTAATTAGTAGAATTTATAAATTTCTTCTACGCTATAAATTGGAAGAAGAGACAGTCAAAGAAACGATGATTAAGTGGGCTCAAAACATCAAACACACAATACCTTTGGAAAAATGGGAAAAGTTCTGGCAGGTAAACCTAAATTTAACAAAAGCAACGGTGTACAAGGAAAACCAACTGAAAATGTTTTATCGGTGGCATATGTCTCCAACCAGATTGGCAAAAATACAACCTAAAAATAGCCCAATTTGTAGGAAGTGCAAAAAGGCACAAGGAACTTTCTATCATTTATGGTGGACGTGCCCAGCAGCAAAGAAATTTTGATCTAACATCAAAAAATGGTTGGAACAAATAACAAAAACACAGATTGAAAAAGAACGAGAAACATTTTTATTAGGAATATTTAACAATTTTTTTTTTTTAATTTTTGATTTATATGCCGCCCTTCTCCGAAGACTCAGGGCGGCTTACAATGTGCTCAGCAATAGCCTTCATCCTTTTGTATATTTATACAAAGTCAGCTTATTGCCCCCACAAATTGGGTCCTCATTTCACCTACCTTAGAAAGGATGGAAGGCTGAGTCAACCTTGAGCCTTGGCGAGATTCGAACCCTGCAGTAATTGCAGACAGCTGGTCTTAATAACAGGGTGCCTTAAGCCCCTGTACTACCAAGGCTCGTTATCATACCCTAAGGATATCAAATATCTCACAATTCACATATTAACTGCTGCAAGAATAACCTACGCAAGAATTTGGAAACAAGAAAAAATACCAAGTGAAACAGAAGTAACAGGGAAAATTTTAGAATGCGCTGAAATGGATAGGTTAACCAAAGAATTACAAGAAAAAGAAGAATCAGACTATTATAAAATATGGAATAATTGGTATAATTGGTTAAAAATCAGAAATATACAAAAAATATAGGGGAAATAATATATATATAATAAAAATATTATTAGATTAAGGAGAGGTGAAGGAATATATCATAAGTAGAATTGTAGAATGTCACTCTGAAAAAATGCTTAAGAAGAAATTACACTCTTTTTCTGTATATGTTGTATAAATGTCTGTTGTGTATATGTTACATATGTCTTTTTTAATATTTATATTCAATAAAAACTACTTTATATTGAAAGTTAACATCTGCACACAAGATGAAGTTTGGCCTGTGCCATGGTATCTTCAGGTAGAATGGGTGCTAATGGGGCATGGTGGCAGTGAGCTGTACCTAAGGAAGTGTGAGCAATCATACCAATAGATGCAATAACTGCTTTAGTTATTGTCAAGATTTTATTGCGACAATGCTTGTTAGCTTCACCATCTTCCCAAAGAAAAGAGGGGAGGGAATGGAATGCCAAGAAGCCATTCATGGACCAGAGGAACCTTCACCATACAAGGTCATTGACGCAGGTGCTCGATGGAGAAGTGAACTGTTCCCATAACAGAAATAAATATTACTATTGGACAATGTGAACACTCTGTGGGTGGGGGAATGGGAATCTGATTTTTAACTAAGCAAGCTTTTGCGTGGGAAACCTCAGAGTTCATTTTGCTGGGACTTAATTGCCTTAAGGATTCCTTTTGTTGGGTTCACTAGTAAGATTGTTACCATTAAACCAACTCCCCTTAACCTTCACATTATGAATGCAGCCTATAGGGGCACTTCCAAGAGAGTTGTAGCATGGTGACGTCAGGAACGGAGAAAAATCTGAGGCCACACTGAAGCAGTTCTTCCCCAGGAAGCTCTGGCAATGATCCCAGCGGACTCCGGAATGAAGCTACTAATGATCCGGTCCAAGGTGAGAGCCAAGCAGTTGGAGCAGCCACCGACACAAGGTGAAGGAGTTGTGGCCAGGCTCCTCTACCTGATCCCAAAAGCCTAATGGATGAGCAGCATGGGAAAGGCTGCCAAGATGGAGTTTCCCCTGATTCCACTGGAAGTAGCGATAACCTGGGGAACCAAATGGAATGCCAGGAGGGTTCCCAAGTGGGAAGAGCCGATAGAGTGGAAGTCTCCAACCATGGCTCGCAGCCCTTTGGTCGAGCAACTGAGGGAGAAGTTCAGTGGGATGGAGATGTGGGGAGGGGTATTTGACCTCCATGTGTGGTATCAGCTGGCTACCACGGTAGAACTGGACCTGTACAGGCAGCACACAATGCAAGAGAGCCACCCCTGCTGAAGCAAGGAAAGGCACCTGTCAATGCCAGAGAGGGAGGAAGCCCTCCGTCGGCCACTAGAGAGGGCCAGTGTTGCTCCACACAGGCCTGCTTCTGATGTGGAAAGGAGGACCATTGGGCTGCTAACTGCCTAACACTTCAGCCTAATCAATTCCGAAATCCCGAAGCCAGTCAAAGCTGAAGTAAACATTGAAGAAGATGGAGAAGACTGGGACAGAGCAACAGTTCGAGCTTGGCTATGTTCCAACTCCCCAAATACCATGTTTCCCCAAAAATAAGACCCTGTCTGATATTTTTTTTTGAACCCCAAAATAAGCGCTTGGCCTTATTTTCGGAGAGGTCTTATTATTTTGGGGCACATGGAACAAGATATTTGCTCCTTTTGTCGTCTTACCTGATTTCCAGCTCTGCGTTTAAATATTTTCTAGGAGGACTTATTTTTGGGGGGAGGCTTATTTTATCGCATGCGCTCAAAAGCCCATTTGGACTTATTATCAGGAGATGTCTTATTTTCGGGGAAACAGGGTAGTTACCAAAGAGATGCTATTTATTGTGTGGAGAGTGTCTTTTCATACTTTCCAGCCTCAGGAGGGCCTCTGCAATTAGGCATTTAACTAGATTTCATGCAGTTCCAGTTGTCCAAAGCTACACATAACACAAGTCCAAGGCAGTGCCCAAAAGTCGGTACCCCACTGAAAGCTCCCCACTTCACAGTAGATATGATTACCTCATAGGAATGTTAAATGTCAAAGGTATTTATGGGCCTGCTATTTCCATAGTTGGTGCACCAGCTTTTGCAGCCTGTGCTTTTCGTAATATATAAAAAATACAGTTTTTATAGTTACAGAATGTATACCTAAGACTTCAAAGATGACAACTTTCTTCAATGAGCAGCAAAAATATCCAAGAATGGCAATTTGGCAAAATTAGCTGGTCGTTGACTTTGCCTTATTTAAAATGGGCTATGGCTATGAGGAAGTTGACCTCTAAAAGGTCAAAAGGAAACTAAGCTCCCTTAGTTAACCCCTCAAACACAATACAACTCACAGTGAAAACAGAAAATCCCTAAGCCAATAAATCATATTAACAAAACACCAAGTCCTATTGCACCAGTGTGAACATGTTTCATGCTGCACTGGCCCTGCAAGTCCATCGTACTACGTAGTTATGATGTTATTTAGCATTCAGGAGTCTGACAGCCCACAGATAAAAACGGTTCTTCCCGACGGTAGGAGGGTAAAGAAGTGATGACCAGGGTGAGAGTCGTCCCTGAGAATTTTCCTCTCTCTTCTAAGGCAGTGAGCCCTAGCGATCTCATCTAGTGGTATCAGGGAAAGGCCCACAATGTTTTGTGCCGTGCTCAGCACCCTCTGTAATGTTTTTCTATCCTCTGCTGTCAAGCCAGCATGCCATACAGTGAGGTAATATACAAGCTGAGAATTTTTTAAAAAAGTGTTCTTGCATCTCCCTGAGGCCCATTGTAATTCTTCTCAGAACATCCCTACAGCAGCCTCTGAATCCCCGGATGCATATGTTTATTTTAACTAAATTCTCGGTAGGTAACAAAAGAGTAGGAAGAAACCTGAAATCCATTACAGTATTACTTATGAATATGCATGCTTGAATCATTTCAAGAATGAATCATTCTTACATCATTTTCTCCTTTCTGAAATGTATAAATATCAGTGCATCTCTTTGTCCTCTCAGGGGACCCAGTTATCATAAAACATAATCTTTACTGAGAAGCTCTGAGATATGACATGGCAAAAGGGATTGTTAAAATAACATGTGTGTAGTGATATTATTTTCTTTTTTTTCTTTTTATTTATTTATTTATTTATTTAAAACAATACATCACAAAAAAGAAATAGTCAAACAAATGATCGTGACAGGAACTTTACATGATATTTACACTTTCTACGGTACGTAGGTTTCAGTCAGATTTAACATATATTAAACATAATCCTGGTTATACTTGACTTTTTGGGCATCTGTTGTTCAACCAAATGTACCATTTGTCCCAACATTGGAAATATACGGAGTCCTTTTGATCTCTCAATGCTTTAGTCAGTCTGTCGGCTTCCACATAATCCAAAATTTTCTCCAAAATCAAATCTTCAGCCGGCAGGTCTTTCCCCTTCCAATGTTGAGCGAAACATATTCTTGCTGACGTGGTGATAAATACACACAGACACCATATATTTGTGCCTATGTTGTCTGGCCTGATGTTCAGTAGATAGTACTCTGGTTTCAGAATTAGGTTATAACCTGTGATTTCCATGATCCGTGCCTGTATAATTTTCCAGAATTCAGTCGTCCTGGAGCAGGTCCACCACATGTGGGAATAGGTGCCAATCTCCCCACACTTCCAACAGTTTGGTGAGAGATTTGAATACATTTTAGAAAGACGAGCAGGTGGAAGGTGCCATCTATACAGCATCTTGTACACATTTTCTTTGTATGATGTTGCCCACAGGAATTTCATATGTTTAAGCCAGATTTCTTCCCATTTTGTCAAATCAATTGGATAGACAATATTTCTCCCCCAGGCAATCATAGAGTCTTTAACTATTTCATCCCCTATCCAATAGTCTATTAAAAGTTTATATATCCTTGATAACATTTTGTCCTCTTTTCCTAGAATGATATTGTCCAGATCATGCTGATTCAAATTAATACCATCTTGTTCCCTATCTTTTTTAAATTTCGAGCAAATTTGGGCATAAGCCCACCAATCCAGTTGTCTTCCCTGCAACTCCAACTCCTTTCTTGATTTCAGACTACCATGGGGGTCCAAAAGTTCCCGGTAAGAGAGATGATTTTCTTTGTTATATAGAGGCCTATACGTTATAGCTTCGAGTGGGACCAGCCAAGAGGGGATTGAAGAATAAAATTTACCCTTAATTTTCCTCCAGGAAGTAGTGATATTATTTTCTAATTGCAACCACAAAACTCCACCACATTGATGAGCAGATTTGGGTAGGAAGTTGAGAATTTAATCTTTACTATGAAAAAAGAAAGGAATCGAAACAGGAAATTCTACAAAGTTTCAGAAGACTATGGTAACAATTATATACACAGAGAAACATTGATATGGAATCTAACCTTTTAAAAGACTAATATAGTGAAAGATCTAATTAAAAGAAATAAAAATTAGAGAATATCCTTCTTGGAATAATGAATTTATATGTAACAGCAAGTGTTCTTTCTACATAGCTCACTGGGCATCAATGTGGAAAACTGGGATATGGGATAAAAAAGCTGCATTATTATTGCTGATAGCAGGTCCCTTTATTCATTCATTGACTGATTCATTCAATTTCTATATCTGCCCACCTCAGACAAGTGATTCTTATTGTAATCACTTATACCACTTGATAAGGTGTTATTTAATGAACGTGTTCCTCTTTTTCTGGTCATCACGTTTTTAAAATGACATAAGATACTAAATATGCCGCAAAGAAAAATTTTAAAACATTCCCAGGCATGCATCAGTTAGAGATTTTTGGTTCTTATCATATTCTCCCTACAGTTAAGATGGGGTCTGAATAGGATAATGAAGCATTTAGGGGAAAAGATGCAAGCCAAGAGACCAGCCCCAGAGGCCAAGATGGAGAAGATCTCCACAACCACCATGGACTTCCCTTTGGTGCTCAGGTAGGTGGGGAGGAAGGAGATCCAAACACTGCAAAAGACCAGCATGCTAAAAGTAATGAACTTGGCTTCATTAAAGCTGTCGGGCAATTTCCTAGCCAGGAAAGCTACTGTGAAACTCACAAAGGCCAGGAAACCCAGGTATGAGAGGACAGCGTAAAACATTGAAGCTGAGCCTTCATTACATTCCAAAATGGCCTCCCCAGTCAAGGCATGGAAATCCAAATTGGGAAATGGGGGAGAGGTTACCAGCCAGGTGGCACAAAGAACTACTTGGACCAGGGGACAGGCTACAACAATGGAGTTGGTCAGTGGTTTTCCTAAGAGTTTCCTAGTTTGGTTTCCTGGTTTGGTAGCCATGAAGGCCAGAACCACCATGACAGTTTTTGCCAAAATGGAGGAAACTGCAAGGGAAAAGAGAATGGCAAAGGCAGTTTGTCGGAAGAGACAGGTGATCTTCCCTGGTCGACCAATGAAGAGGAAGGAGCAGAGGAAGCAGAGCAGGAGGGAGACCAGAAGGATGTAGGTGAGATCTCGATTGTTAGCCTTGACAATTGGTGTGTCACGATGTTTAAGGAAAATTGCCAGGACTCCCAATGTGATTGCAGAGAAAGAAAGTGTGAGCAAAGCTAAAGCATATCCCAGGGCATCTTCATAGGCAAGGAAGTGGATCTTCTTGGCAATGCAGTGGTCCTTGTCCTTGTTGGGATATTGGTCTTCTGGGCAGGGATCACAGCTTGCAGAATCTGAAATCAAGAGTACTTTTCACATCACAGAATATCAAAAAGAAGAAATAATTCTTCAATATTGAATATTCTGGTAATAGGCTAGTCTGAGACAAGGATGTTTCCACCTTTGGGGATTAAGTTCTCTACGTTGTATTTTGCATCGACTCATGAGTCTGAATGAGCCGATGCAAAATACAGTATCTACCTACGTAACTACCTACCTACATCCATCCATCCCTCCCTCCCTCCCTCCCTCTATCTGTATCTGTATCTGTATCTGTATCTGTATCTGTATCTGTATCTGTATCTGTATCTGTATCTGTATCTGTATCTCTGTCTCTGTCTCTGTCTCTGTCTCTGTCTCTGTCTCTGTCTCTGTCTCTGTCTCTGTCTCTGTCTGGTTTCCTTGACCCAGGAAGATCTACATTGAAAGTGTGCTCTACCTGTCTGGTTAGAAATGGTCCCTTCTGGACAAGGGTCACATTGGTAGCAGCACACCTGTTCGCCCTCTGGAACTCTTTTCCTCTCTCCTGCCTGGCACCTCTTCATGCCACACCTGGCAAAGGGCACCTTCTACAAGAGAAAAGAGAAATGCATGAGATGTCTTCAGCAATGAATGTGCTTCACTTATTCTTTTCTATATTTCTCTTTCCATCATTAGAATATCTTCAAGAGCAACGATTAACTCTAATGTACCACAAATCAGGAAAAGCTGCTGGGGGGATTAAGGCTTGTGCTATTCTAAACCACCAATGGATTCTGGGGCTTGGAACTGGGGCTTGGCATGCAAAAGAAAGGCCGTGAATTGAGCTATAGCTTTTCTGAAGCAAACAGCGATGGAGATCCAACTGAATGGGAATGGTCCATGGAAACCACTCTTGGCTGCTCTATCTGCATCCTGGGTTTCAGGCAGAATTTCTTCCTGATCTCAATTCTTTTTGCTCCGTCACAAATCAGATCTCAAATACGTTGCATGCAAAACAGCTTTTTCATCAAACGGTTGCCAAATTTTTGCTTCAGTAACCCGTTCTCCAGTAAGGGAGATATTTTGAATCCCTGGAAGGGAATGACTCTTTTGCTGCACTTATTTTACCTTACAGCTCACCTTTTTTGCCCAGACAATTGCATCAGAGTTAATGGTGAAATCCTGTCCTGCAGGAGCCCCGGGATCTATCTCTCCAACTTTCACAGGGACAAAAGATTCGTTGGGGAGCAGAACCCAGTTGAAAAGATCATAACGAGCAGATCCCAGGCCATTTTCTGAGAAGGAGACTTCATCTCCAGCACTGTTGTTGAACTGGATGTTTCTCAAATAGGGAAGAAGCTGAATGAAAAGAAACTTTCAGAAATTGCTAATACTCTCTACTCCTCTAAGAATTTGTTTTCCTCACAGTGCCTGCCCTGATTCCTGACTTCAATGGACATAGAGGTCTATACTTTATGCTTTGAGGCAAAAAAAATCAACACACCACAATTTCATGAATTTTAGACCACGTTGAGTTCTGTTCTGTGTGTTAAAGTTGAGCAAAGCTTGTTTCAAACAACAAGTAGTTCAGTGCAACAAATGGCAAGCTAAACATGTGGCAGGATCATATAGAATGCTAAGCCATAGTAACATAAATCAGAGTTACAATGAACTGAGTCAAGTTTCTTTCTATAACTGGATTCAGGCTACAACATGGAGGAAACTGAGATGGTTCTGAAAATATGTCTACTGGGACGTCAGTTGACCTGTTGAAGCATCTGGCAGAATTGTCATCTTGCTCTGGATCACTCTACGCAATGGCCACTCCATGAAATTCACACAACCTTTGAATACTTCTGAAAACCTTTTGGGAACTTCATACATCCATGAATCTTAGCTACAATTGGTTTGTTTTAATGCTCTTTCCCCCTTCTACCCTTATTGAATCAAACATTATACTTAATCTGTGTTATTGTTGTTTTTAAAAATAGTTCTGTTTAATTTGCTTTGAGATGCAGTGATATAATGCCATATTGATATTTAACCAGCAATTCAAGAGATACTTTTCCTTGAAAATTCTTAAGGGAATAGAAACTATTTTATTTATTTTATTTATTTTATCATATTTATATACCGCCCTACTCCCAGGGGACTCATGGCGGTGAACAGCCAAGATAAAAATACACCCGGAAGACCACTGGGAGCCAGTGCAGCTCGCACAGGAGGGGGGTCACATGGGAGCGCCACGTCGCTCCCATCACCATCTGCACGGCCGCATTCTGGACCAGTTGGAGCCTCTGGGTGCTCCTCAAGGGGAGCCCCATGTAGAGAGCATTGCAGTAGTCCAGGCGTGAGGTGACAAGAGTGTGAGTGACTGTGTGTAACAAGTCCTGATCCAGAAAGGGACGCAACTGGCGAATCAGGCAAACCTGATGAAAAATCCTCCCGGCCATGGCCATCATATGCTCTTCTAAAGACAGCCGTGAGTCCAGGAGGACGCACAAGTTGCGAACCCCATCCGTGGGGGCCAACGACTCGCCCCCAATAGTCATCATTAGTTGATGGCGCCGGACTTCCGGTTTGCTTCTCGCTGCCGCCAGACGATCCCTCGGGACCGCCAGCCCCATTGCCTGTAAAGAGCTGCCTTTATAACTGAAAGGCGGCTCGAAAAAACTCTGTTTCCATGTGGAAATGGAGATAGAGCCGGCGGGGGCAGGTAGAGCTCTCTGCATAGCCCCAAAAGTTTTTTTTTACTTTTGGGGACGAAGCAGATGAAGCTCCCTATTTCCCTCGCCGCCGCTCCGGGCTTTGGGAGACCTCTGCTTATGCAGAGCTAGGCGACAAGAACAAGCCTACAAAATTAACAGAATAATTAAAAAGGATGTGAGCTGGACCTGTGACCCTGAATCGCAAGTATTTCATTTATTTTATAACAGTTATTGAAGAAAGAAAAGGAAAAGGAAAAAAGAATTTTTAAAAATGGCAACTGCCGAGGCTTGAGAAGGGGCTGAAAGGGAGAGTCCTTCCGTTTCCTACTAAGATACAAAGTAGCGGAATAAATACCTTTGGCTACAATTGAAGATAAAGCTCTACTTTTGTGTTTTCTTTTTCCTGGAGATCTGATAGTGATCTTGGTTGGAAAGAAGTTTTTTTTTTTCTCTTCTTTGCCTCTCTTTTCTTTTCTAAAAAAGTTTGTCTGTGTGGAAACATGGCATTAAAACTTACAAAGCCGGACAAACAAGCAGTGGGGGGGGGATTCCCCCATTAATAAATTACGTGAACAAGTTCTAAATCTCCAGTCTCAGAAAACTGATTTTAACATAATTGAATTTCTTTTGGAGGAGATTGTAAGAAGGGATGAGATTGTGAATCAGAACTTTGAAAAATTTAAGCAGGAAATTAAAGAATTAGTGCAATTAAAGTTTGATACTTTGGATCGAAAGATTATAAAAATGGCTAATGGTTTTGCAGAATTTATGATCAAGTTGGATGCAAATACTAATTTATTAGAGTCTAAAATGGAAGAAATTGAGGACAATTTGGACAATAGAATACAAAAAGTTGAAAATGATTTGACAAACACTCAAGACAATAGCTCAGAAGAAAAACCTAAAATGGACGCTGATCAAAAGACTTGTAATGCAGAAAACATACAACAACGGATTGAAAGAGAAGTTTTAATGATGCAATATAATTTTACTGAATATGCGATTAGACTGAGAGGATTGCAGGAAAATAACAGAGATGATTTAAGGAAAATATATTCTGAAATTTTGGCTGGGATTTTAAAGGTTCAACCTGAGGAAGTATTTTGTAGGATCGATAGAGTTTATAGAATAAATTCCTGGATTGCAAAGCAAAGGCAATTGCCTAGAGATGTGGTGATTTATTTTACAGATAAAGAAATAAGGAATAATATTGTGCAAAATTCCTTCAACTCTACTTTGCAATTGTTTGGAAGAAGGATTTGGATTTACAAAGAGCTCCCGCCCAAGATGTTATCGGAAAGAAAGAAATTTGGTTTTCTAGTGACTGAGCTTAAAAAAAGAAATATTCTATTCAGGTGGGATGCTCCAGTTGGCATAATATTGAGATATCAAGGAGAAAGATACCAACTAAATAATGTTGAAAAAGCGGAAGAATTTTATCAAAAATTTTTGAAAATGAACTTAACATCTTTATGCACAATACAGGATAAGCAGAAGGAGTTGGAAATAAAGGGAAAATATCGAACTATAGAGGCTGCTGTGGACAAATTGCCTTTGGATTCTTTAGACACCTCAGCTGGATTATCTACAAATATGAGAGAAGTGGCAACGGACTCTAATGTGATGATTCATCAAGTCACAGACAAGCATGGAAATCAATTAGCTGATACACAATTGATAAAAAAGAAATATGAGATACAAAAGCAAAACCAACAAGATCAAGTCATAAAGCAGAATGAAAACCGATCAGTTGATATACAACTTGTAGAAAGGAAACTAGGATGGAGATCAAACCCACAAAAAGAAAAGAAAAAAAGAAATAGGTCTCACAAAAATAAAAATTTCTAAATTAAGCAACAGTGAAGCCAATTATTTTTAAAAAATGAATGAATATATGAAAAGATAGTTGAGGCGAAGTTTTGGTTAACATTATCCTGAGGAGAGTGACAGACCTCTGCAATGCTGTAACTTTGGGATGTGAAAAGAGCCTTAAATTGTTGGATTGGAATTATCTATTTTGGATTTCTTTTTTTTATTGATAAATGTATTATATTTATCTTGAGCTATAAGGCAAGAGAGCTATGCTGGGGCACGCAGAAGATCTGGTTGTTACCCATTATGATGATGGGAATTAATAATCCTGATGAAAGCCACAATTACAGATACTATATGAATAATCCACTGGGTGATATATATATGATAGATGATGATGCCATGAAAGCAATCATGCAACCAGGATGCTATGTTACCCTAATATGGATGATGGACTCAACAATCCAGTGGAAAGACATCAAAGAAGATATTATATGGATTATAAATTTAAAGTCATTGATTTTTTTATATATATAACGGAATATATATTTTTTTAGCAGGGCGGGCAGTAGATTAAAGATATTAAGAATTGTTGTGCATGGTAATTTTGTAGGAAAGTGGGTGGAAATAGGTTAGTTTACTGATTGTTTAGTTTAAGAAAAGGGATGTTTAAGTGATATATTTAGGGGAGTGGAGGAAATGGATAGAGTTGAATAAATGTTAAATTAAGATTTATGGGGAAGGCTGCTTTGAAATGTTATATATATAAGTATGGGGGAGGAGAAAAAGGCAGATTGTTGCTAGATTGGGAGTTATAATAATATTATTATGCTAAATTAGAAGTTATTATATACTGTTATTTTGAAAAGTATGGTAAAAGGGGGAAGTAATAATATTAATAATATTATTAGCATGTAAGGGTCAGTATTTAGAGGAGGGAGTAAGGGGATGGTAAAATATTATATAATCTGTTATGAATTAGGTTTTTGTTGTGAAGAAGTCACAGGGGGGGATGGGAGGTGAGGGGGGGTTAGTGAGGAGGGGGAGAAAAATGGGGGGGAAATTTGTATTTGAAAACTTTTTCAATAAAAAAAAATAGTTGATGGTGCCAACTGACTATATCGGGACGTTGGAAACCACAGCCACTCAGTCTTGGATGGGTTGAGCCTGAGTCTGTTCCTCCCCATCCAGATCCGTATGGCCTCCAGGTACTGGGACATCACTTCGAGGGCATCATTGGGGTGGTCTGGGGTGGAGATGTACAGCTGGGTGTCATCAGCATACTGGTGGTACTTCACCCCAAAACCACAGATGATCTCGCCCAGCGGCTTCACATAAATGTTGAACAGAAGGGGCGAGAGGACTGATCCTTGCGGCACCCCACATACAAGGGGCCTCGGGGTCGACCTCTGCCCCCCTGTCAACACAGACTGCAACCGGTCGGAGACAAAGGAGGAGAACCACCATAAAACAGTGCCCCCCCACCCCCAACCCCTCCAACCGGTGCAGCATGATACCATGG